AGATTCTCCATCCACTTTCCAAGTTCAGGCTCCATCTCCTCCTTATAGGCCCTGTCCCACCCCCATTGCTCTGTTGCTCATAGTGTTTACACAGGGTCTTTCTGGTCTCTGCTCCAAGAGCCCTTACAAAGATCCTAAGTTGGATTTTCTCCCTGCTTTGCCCGATTGGGATGACCTTCTGCAGCACAACTGGCAACACCACACATTTGGCACTTACTTTGTGTGTTAGGCCCTGCACTAAAGACTTTATTTATACTATTCTCCCATTTAATCCTCTCAACAGTTTCTTGAGGAGAGAATTACTTTTCCATTTACATATGAAATAATTGAGGCACGGAGAGAGAGTAATTTGCTCCAAGTCATGCAACTAGTTAATGACAAAGAACCAAATTGAAACTGGGTCTGTTGAACTACAAGCCGTCTTAGACCACTCACCATACTGCATATTCGGTCCTCATTCTGTGGTCTGAAGTTTAGAGGGATTGGAAGATAATTCAGCATATGCAAATCTCTCGACCCTTTAGTTTAGTCCAGGATCCCAGCTGCATGATAGAGATTGTCCTCAGAAAGATCTGACCCAGCTGAGTCTGGCATCCACTTAGTGCTCTATAAAATAGTCCTCCTTGAATTGGAATGCATTTATGGCTCTTAAACATTGGCTGCCCTAGTATTTCTTCTCAAAATGCATGAGTCTGTGCTGCATTCTTAATAAGTCTCCCCAGAGATTCTTGTTTCTTCTCTTCCTCTTGTGACCCTTTAGGAAACTCTGACTTGGGACAGGCAGTCAGGGACCATCCAGATGCACTTAATTGTTAAGATGCTTTCTGACAGCCTCAGAAACAAGAGTCACAAACCTGGTTGTGTGATGAGGGGGGTCACGTAGCCTTGGCTGTTTTAATTATACCCAAGAAGAGAAGAGGCTTTCATAGTCAACATTTCCCTGCCAAAATCTTGTTTGCCACTTGCAGCTCTTACAGAAAATGGGCATAAAATCATAGAGTATTTGTGCCAAAAGCGCCTGAAGAAACCATCTGCTGTAAGCTCATGAAGCTCAGAGATAGGGAGTGACTTAACTAAGGTTGCACAACCTGTTAACTTTATCCCAGCCCATTGGTGAACCCTAGGAAGAGATGCAATTCTAATTACATTCCTCGGAGACTTACTGACTTATTTTGAGTTTCTATGGCACAATTTTACATCAAGCAAAGGAAACTCATTTAATCAAGTCTCTTTTCAAGAGATTTCCTATTTGGGTATTTGCTGTTTGGTCACTTCGAGATGAAAGAAGAGAAGCAGGTGAAGGCATATGCCATACAACTCAGTCCATTCAACTGTGTTCTCTCAAGATGGTGGCTGTCACTGAGTTGGCACAGAAATAGGAACAGATATGAACTTGCAGCAGTGGTGGTAGATGTTTTGTGTAGTTTCTGGGTGCTTGGGAAGCCAGACACTCTGTGGATCAGTGACCTAACCATAGTAACCTTTGCCTGTGCTATCATCAGGAGATGACATCATGGAGAACTGCTTTTTACCTTGCAAAATCCCTCTTCCTCATGCATTCAGGTATAAGAAATGAAAATCCCATAGGAATGGGATTTTCTGAAGTCTTGGTGTTTAAAAATTTGGAGCAGTAAGAAAACTAAGAACCAAAGAGGAAAGTATATACTTTGGTTGCAAGTGACAAGAACCTAACTCCAATGAGCAAAGCTCAATGGGAACTTTATTGAAACTAGTGAGGTGTCTAGCAGAATCAAAGAATGTGGTGACCAGTCAAGCCTCAAGAAGCCAGAATCAATAAGAAATCCACAAGACACACTCTCTTCTCTTAAATCTATGCATCTCTCTGCGTGATGAGCTTGTTTTCTCTTACTACAGAGTGGTATTCTACATGTGGGTTGAGGATACACCATCATTTTTAGAGCACACATCCCTGTATATTTGCCATTCAAAAGGAGAGAAAATAGCTCCAGCTAAAAAGATTTGTAAGGAAGGGTTCTGACTGGCCCCACTTGATCACATGCCCCCTTTGCCAACAGTCTTCACTAGAATCACCTGGTTTGGATGAGGAAGTAGTAGTACTACAAAAGAAGAAGTTGCCGTTTTCGGAAGAAATGAGGGGAAACATGATAGCTGACTATCAAAAGAAATTATTTACCAAAGATCCTGCCGAAAGTGAGGAACAGATTCAGGGCTAGAACGAGAATCAATAAAATAATGATTACTAATAATAATGGAAGTCTCTAGATTCTTTTCATGTCTGGCATTGAAGTAGACTTCAGTGTTACTGAATGCTCATTCATTTATATTTTTAAAAACTTGCTGTTGTGTGGAGGGTAGACCATAAGTGAGTAAGCATGGAGTAGGGAAAGTGGCTACAAGCTCTGTATTAGCTCCTAGGTAGGGGAGAAACAATGGTGCCTTGGACCAATGTCATGGCCATGAAAGTGAAAATGGCTCAGTCATGTCAGACTCTTTGTGACCCCATGATCTACACAGTCCATGGAATTCTCCAGGCCAGAATACTGGAGTGGGTAGCCTTTCCCTTCTCCAGGGGATCTTACCAACCCAGGGATCAAACCCAGGTCTCCTACTTTGCAGGCAGATTCTTTACCAGCTGAGCCACAAGGGAAGCCCAAGAATACGGGAGTGAGTAGCCTATCCTTTCTCCAGTAAATCTTCCTGACCCAGAAATTGAACTGGGGTATCCTGCATTTCAGGTGGATTCTTGACCAACTGAGCTATCAGAGAAGCCTTACTTCCAAAAGTGGGAAGACTTGAGAAGCATTTAGAAGGAGAATCACAGGACTTGTTGGATTAGATGTCAACACTAAGAAAAAGAAAAACATGGAATTAGGAATTATACCAAGATTTCTGTGAAAACTAGGGTTAAAATAAATTTGGAGCAGAATCAAGAGTTCCTGGACATGGTAAGTTTGAGACATGGAGATGTATATTAGGCACTTGTTTATACATGTCATCACCAAAGATGTGGCACCTAAAGCCTCAGGAGTAGATGAGGCTTCAAGGAAGAAAGTATATCTAGAGCAGAGGGATCAACTGTTCTTTTAGTCATCTCTTTTGCATATACTGAATCCTTCTGCTGGGCTTCCAGCCAGGAACTTCAGATGGGAATCACAATCATTATTACAGTGAATCCCATGGAATGAGAAGACAGACTCATCCCTCAGTGGGGAGCTAAGAACTAACCAAATGAACTGTTAAACAAGCATCTAAACTCCATGAGATGTGTTGATTGCTCCAAAGTATACCCTTTGGACAACTAAACAAATGATGAGAAATAAGCCTGTTGTAAACCACTGTGTCATTTCCCTTGGTTATCTTCAGAGCCAGGTTTTAGGTCCCAGGAAAATTTACCAGACTTAGTTTCGGATGACTTAGGGTTATTTCCTTTGGTAGGCTGAAAGATGGCCATAATTTTCTGCAGCTCTTCTTGATGGCATCTATTCTTCCACCTCTTAAAATTAGGCTTGGCCGTATGACTTGTTAGTCAGTTGGACATGAGCGAACATGATACAAACAGAGGCTTGAAAAATGCTTCTGCATTGGAGCTTGCCCTCTCATGCTGCTGGGAAAACTTCTACCACCATGTGAACAACTTTGGGTTGCTTTCCGGAGAACGAAAACATGGAGAGATAAGATCTCAACACCTTAGTCCTCTCAGGCTGGGACTCCAGACACATGAATGAAGCCACTCTAGACCATCCAGCCTTGGCCAAAGGAACCATCTACCTATCTCTAGGCAATGATGAGAAATAACATTTATTGTTTTAAATCACTAAATTTTGGAGTGGTTTGTTATGTGTCTCAGAGGACAATTAACTCTGAATAAGGTAGTCTACAGATGTTTCACAAGTACAGTTATTCTATATTTCACTTTTTTTTTTTTTTTTTTTTTGGCTACACCACATGGCTTGTGGGATCTCAGTTCTTCAACCAGGGTTTGAAGTCAGAGTCCTAACCACAGGACCTCCAGGGAATTCCTTCTTACTCTTTTTGGAGGATTTGTGTTCAATCAGGTTTCATCAAAGGTTTAAACTAAAAGATGAAAGCTTAATTGAGAAATGTAGTGATGGCCAGGGGCAGTGGGGTCTTCCTGAAGTCCCTGAAATAGCTCCACAAAGGTGACAGGTTTCAGAGTTATGTGTTCTCATAGAATGATGTAGCTTTCCTTCACTGTGCTTTGTAATTATATTTTGGTGATTATTTTACAATGTCTAGACTAAACAACAAGCTGTTAGACTATAAGCTTGATGAAGGCAAGGATTATGTCTAGTTTACCAGTGATTGTATCCTGGCACATACTAGACACTAATTTGTTGAAAGAATATATTTCAATTGTGCCTACTTCATATAAGGGATCCAGGCTTTCAAAAACATCACTTAACAGTATTTGTATCCAATGGACCTGCCTCTCACAGCCACTCCCAGTCACAGGCTGTTGCTTGATTCTTCAGCAGTAGCAGGTAATCAAGTGTAGGTTTGGGATGGGGAATCTGAAATTAATGAAATTCCAGGACACTTGCTGCTGTAATTCCTTCTACTTACACCAAATGGTTGGCAAACAAACAAATAAACATTATTCAAGACACTTTAAGAAACTTGATACATAAGCAAGGAGCTTGGGGCAAGAGCAGGTGGTATAACTGGGAAAGTCATGTCTGGAGAATGTTCATATCATTCTGTGGACATTATAAGGCTGCAGTCACAAAGCAATTGTGAAACAAATGCCCCAAGTGAGGCTGTTAACTCTGACAATCCTTGGAAATCTGTTACTACCAATATCCTAAATACACAATCTGAAGAGGAAAATGGAAAGAGCAAGAGTCAGACAGAGGTGGGTTCAGTTAGTAAATGAATGACTTTGGCATGTTAACTTTCTCAAGGCTATGTTTCCTTGCCTGTCAAATTGAGGATAATGATATTTCAAAAAAAAAAGCACCTCCATTAGACTACAGGTACCTGCAAGCAGGGACCATTTGTTTTCATGTATATTTATTCAGTGTTTAATAGTGCCAGACCTATAGTAGATACAGAAGTGAATTTCTTCCTAGAGGTGATCCAAGACCTAGTCCTGGCTCCATCACAAATTCACTCAGAGTGGCCTGAAGAAATTTCCTCCCCCTCCCTGGGCCTCCACCTTCCTTTTTGTACCAAGAGGAGCCCAGACAAGATTTCCTCAACTCCCTTCCAGATACAATATTTAATGAGTCTGTGACCATTCAGTACAATCTACTGCATTGCTCCGCCTAGAAGTTAATAATGCTACAGACTGAGAAGACAGTATTGTCACCAATCACTTTGTATTTACAGATACACATGCATTTAAACCAGATCCTGTAAATAGCTACAATACTGTATTGCACTTTTGGCCGACTTTTGCATTTTTAGAGGTCAAGAGGTTCTTTTAATCTCCTTTTATTTGGAATGTTAAGCGAAATGAAAACTGGGACAAGTTGCCATAACACATATTATGCAGCTTGAACCTAATTGCACTATTACCATGATTGATGAACATTCACCACAGTCAGCTGGAAGCTGCTGCCTTCACTCTGCAGAAACGAGGTCACAGAGACGGGCTGAGGAATTGCCATCTAACAAGCAGATCTGTCTGTTGCTTGTAGAAGCGTTTGCTACTATTACATTTAACTGCTGATTCCGTCTATTGTGAAGATGCTTGTTCCCTTGAACTGGCTCCTGAGTTTTCAGGATTTTGACAATCTTTAGGTGAAAAATTCAATTTTTGCCTGGATACTCAGTAGGAGAGAAAGGATTTGGATACATGTACTAACAAACCCAGGGGTCCTGAGGAGCTTGGTCTGAAATCCTAATACTGGGGTAGAAGGGTGTGACTGCCCAGAAAAATAATAATTATTCCTGACCTGTATAGGAATTTATACTGTAAAAAGCACATCCAGAAACACTGCCCTGGGAAGGGGCCACATTCTTCCTTAGTCAGAGAATGTTATCAAGTTACACCTCCCAAGATGACCCACTGCTGACACAGGCAGGCTACTCACTGCACTGCTTTGGAGCTTGATAAAAATTGCCTGACAGAGGCAGATATAAGAAATACCAGCACTTAAGCCTCAGAAACACTGGGCAGTTTTCGCTCAGGCCCATGGGACCTGGGCTTCCTCAGAGACTCCTTGCCAGAAGTGTTAGACAGCTATCACCTCAGATTAGGCTGAGTAGCTGAACAACTTATTAACGAATTAGAGATACGTCTTTTCTTCAGTGGACTTGGAATCTAATGGCCTTGGGGCTGAATTATACTGTGGCTCTAACCCTTACTAGTTGTGTGATCTTGGCCAAGTCTCTTAACTTCTTCTGATCACAGTTTATCTATAAAAATGTGCTACAGAATGTGGTGAGGAGCACAGACTTTGGAGCCTACTTTCTGGATTTGAACCCCAGCTCTACCATTTACTCATTAGGTGACCTTAGACAAGCTAGAGAACCTATCTGTTGCTTAATTTCCTTGTCTTTAAACAAGATGGATTATAGTGCCTCCCTCACAAAGATGTTGGAAAGATAAATGAGTTAATACACATTAAGTGCTTGGAGCAACACCTAGTATTGAGTAAGCATCACTTGCTTACTTATATCAGTGTTGGATACAGTGATATTGGGGTGATAATCCTCATCTCTTGGGTTTATTTTGCAGATCAACTGAAATATTGAAGGTGAAAATTAGGCTGTCAGAGTTATTAGTGCCAGAAAAGACTGAAAAGATTTCCCAAATGGCTTCCCTCATTTTATAAGTGGGAATTCAAGACTCACTGATGGGGAGGAACTGGTCCAGAATCATAGGACAAAGTTTTTAAGTCTCCTGATTTCAGGGCAGAGCCTGAGTCTCCTGATTCCAAGTTCAAAGTGCTATCCTCTGCACTGTGTCACAGAAGGCAACCTCTCCACAGAGTTGAACCTGAAGGGTTCTTTAATGCACTTTCCCAGGACAATAAACTGTGTTCAGAATGGAAGGAAAATTTGGGAGAGACTCTCCCACCTCCTCCACTGAATTCTGAAGCAGCATTTTAGTACAGAAAAAAACGAGATTCAGGCCAGGGCTGAATGAAAGATTTTCAGGAATCACTGCTAGCTCTACGTCATTGTTTCAGTAACAAATCAAACATGTCCAAACAAGCTAGAACCATGAGCTAATGCATTAGGTTCATTTCCAGTACCAGAGGGGTTTTCTGGTTTTGTTTTCCTCAGGTGTTTAATGAAGTAGTAGTTTCACATCAGCTCTTGGGTAGAAACCAAAGTTTCACTCTCAGGAGAATGAGGGACCTCTGAGTTCACTTTTCCCATTTTTTTTTCAGGGTTGTGCCCACTTAAGATTTATTCTGCTTTGAATCAGATTTTTCAGCTGGACTACTAAAGAGTGATAGAAAGACAGGTTGGAGGAAAAGGCAGGATGGGGAGAGGACCCTAAGAAGAATGGCAGATGGGATGAGACCTATTGACTTAAAAAAAGGGCAGATTCCAGGGGTCATGGTATCTGTTCTCAAATCATCTAAGGGGGTCACATGGCAGAGGGAGCAGAGACTGTGAAGTATCTGACAACAGAGATGCTACAAATGGGGTTGGAAGAGGAAGAAGAATTTCCAGCAGGCAGATTTCAGCTTAAAGCAAGGAAAACTTTCTGATTATGAGCTACCCAAAGATGGTGTGGAAACTGAGCTCCCATCCCTGCCTAGGAAGTATGCTTTAGAAGAGATTGGCTGTGAGGCTTGACAGCCACTTGTCAGAGATATGAAGATTGGAATTGACTAGTGAGACTTGGTAAAATTTGGGATCCCACCAACTGTAAATTTTTTAGATTCTGGGAGCCTAAGAACCAACGACCAATGTCATGGAGTTCTCACAGTGGAGAACCCACTGGAAAGCAGGAAAATCAGACATTTGTGACCCATTTCTTGATTTTGCCTGTGTTTCTCTTTTTGTCTTCCTCGAGCTTATGCATTTGCTCTTCTATATAGCAGGAACCTTTGACATTTTGCAGGGGATAATCTTTTTCTTTTAAGTGTGTTTCCTGACTCAGCCTTTGCTCTTTCAGCATCATTTAGAGAAGCTGAGCTCTCTGGAGATTAGCTCTGGCCTGTCACCACAGCAACTGCCCAAGCCCTCTGGGCATCCGTGGTAACAGATGAGGGCTTTGAGAAACAAGGCTTGTCTAGTGGTGAGAGGAAGCTCCACAGGGAGCCTGATATGAAAAAAGCAGGCTGTGTAAGGAGTGTTTTTTTTTTTCAAGATTAGCTATGCAGGTGTGTCTCACTTTACACAGTTAGCCAGGCCCTGAAAAGTGTGCAAGGGTGTGTCAAATTTTGGTCGAGGGAGAGAATCTTATTTTAAAGGCAGAGAAGAGACTTGCTTTTCCAAGTCCCTGTAGTGAATTGCCTTGGTAAAGTGGAGTCAACTTTCGTAAAACGAATCTCCGCCCACATTGTAACCTAGTTAGTCTAGTGCTGAGTGTCTGTGAGTGGGGCCACCCGTAGAGAACCCCAGGGCCATGCTTCCGCCTCCACTGCAAGCAAGGGACAGCAGCAACTCAACTTGGGGTGGACAGAGTGTAACAGGGAAGCAGAGTGGGGGTAGGGCCACAATGAAAGGAGATCGGGACGGTGGGCCTGGCCTAGCACGAGCAGTTCTGCTGCAGCAGAGGTGGGGTGTCTGAGAGACGGGTATTCTTGGAGGTGCCCAGCAAGGAGGGGTCTGTGTCCAGAGTATCAGACATCTTGTCGCAGATGGCATCCACCAGGCGCTCGAAGGCCTGCCTCACGCTGATGTTCTCCTTGGCACTGGCTTCAAAGAAGTCAAACCCTGAAGACAGAAGAGAGATTGGGATTGACATATATTATGTATAAAATAGATAACTAATGAATAGCTACTGTATAGCACAGAGAACTCTACTGAATGCTCTGGTGACCTAAATGGGAAGGAAATCCAAAAAAGAGGAGCTACATGTATGTGTGTGTTAGTCACTCAGTCATGTCTGACTCTTGGCAACCCCATGGACTGTAGCCCACTGGGCTCTTCCATCCCTGAGATTCTCCAGGCTGGAGAATACTGGAATGGGTAGCCATTCTCTTCTCCAGGGGATCTTCCTGACCCAGGGATCGAACCTGGGTCTCCTGCATAGCAGGCAGATTCTTTACTGGCTGAGCCCCAGGGAAGCCTGAATACATGTATATGTACAGCTGATTCACTTTGCTCTACAGTGTAAACTAACATATTATTGTAAAGCAACTATACTCCAATAAAATTTTTAAAAAGAGAGAGAAGAGAGATAGCAGTAAGGATTTTTCCCTTCCCTTTCATGCCCCCTTGATAGAACACTCTGCATTAATATAGCCAGTGCTCAGGCTTTGAAGCAAGGAGGACTTGCTGCTTCAAGGAGGTTTCTGCTTGAAGGAAATGGTTCAGTGACCCAGGATCCTGAGTCAGATTGTTCCTGGCTCTATCATTAACTAGCTGTGTAATCCCCAGCAAGTCACCTATTTTTTTATGAATCAATTCCCTGGTTGGTAAATTGGGATAATCTCACCTATCTCATAGATTTATTTCAAGGATTAAACAAGAGAATGCAGGTAAAGTATACACTCCTGTACCTGATGGGGTGAGACAGCGTGGGAGTAATAATTAGATGTTTTTTGAGAGTGACTACGTGACTATGTATATACAATACTTCCATTTCCAAAGCACTGATTGAATGCCTTATTTCATTTGATCCTTATGTCACCCCGGGGGATGGAGGGTCCAGGCAGACCCTCTCCATTTCACTAACACCCACTCTGTGGCTCTGAGAAAAAAGCTGACCTGCCCAAGGTCATCAGTATAAGAAGCCTAAGCTTGTCCTTTTTGACCAGGGCTTTTGCTTCTCTTTCCTGGGCCCCCCGCTTACTGCAACCTGGCCAGCTCTAGTCTAGACTCTGGGAGGCACCCCAAGATCTTCACCAAATAAGTAAAACTCCATTTGCTCTTTCTACCCACAGACACACTGGCTTATCTCCCCTCTGAGGGCTTTCTCCTCCCTCAATTCCCAGGAATTACTCTGGATCTCTCCTGCCTCACAAGATCCTGACAAATGGCCCAGGAAAAACTGCATCTGAAGCGTGAGACTTTCTTATGTTTTGTGCCTTAAGACCCTTAAAGATATTTCCTGTGACAATGACCAGAACCTGGTTGTCCCAGGAGACGAGAAAAAGGTCCTCCTGATTCAGGCAAAGTGGCCGCTTCCCAACTGAGGAGTCCTAGCCAGGTTGGTGGCAGTCCTTAGATGCATGAACCTGCTTTCTGTTTCATCCCTGCATCAGCCTATTTCCTCCTCTTTTGTCTGTCCACCTTCCTCTTTCCCTTCCTTCCAAGTCCATCTTTTATTTCTCCTCAAAAACTTCCCTCTTTGGTTTTACCCATTTTGGCTCTTTTTCTCTTCTGTTCCTCATATTCCTTGGGATCATTAATATTTGTTGAGTACCTACTATATGCCAGATGCTATGCTAGGAGCTTTACAAATATTCTTACTTAATCCTCATAATAGCCTCTGAGGTAAATATAATCAACTCCAATTTGTAAAAGAAAAACGAAGGCTCCAAGAGATTACATAACTCACACAAGGTCACGTGACTGTGTGAGTGGGAATTGGGTTTAGATCTGGGTTTGGCTGGCTTCCACGTCCATACACAGCCCTGCCTCTCATTTCTTCATCTTTCTCCCTTTCACTTTCCTTTTTCCTTTCTTTCTGCTCATATTTTTTTCTTACTTTACAAGTATCTTTGGCCTCCTTTGCTTTTATCTGTCTACCACAGTATCTGAATCTGGGCAAGTCACTTTATCTTTCTGAATCACTTAACCTCTCTGAGCCTCAGACTCCTCATTTGTCAAATAGGAATAATCACAGCATCTTCCTGCCAAGAGCAGTTGGGAGCATGGAGCCAGACGATGGATAAATTGCTGTACAAAGTTGCTTGTTACAATGACAGCTTCTCTCTGCTCTTCTTTCATCCACTCCTTTTACCTCCACTTCACTGCTTTCTCCCTCTTTGATCATCCTCTCATACACACAGGAGGGGAGTCTTTTTCCTCCTCCCTCTTTCTAATATCTCATTGTCCACAGAGAGGGCTAAAGCCCCCCAGGCACAAACAGGGCTCCTCTTCCCCAGGCCATCCCAGCCTGAAGGCATTCACAATTACATTAGCTCACCTCTGGCAGACAGCCTCTTCTGGGGTCCACTTCCCGACCTGAGAAAGGCAAGCTATAGAAATGCCTGCTAATTGAGGACGAGATAAAGAAGGAAGTGGGCGCTGGCTCATTATCCACAGGCTGTTGAAACTCAGCTGGCTTTAGAGACTCTTCAGCGTGTAGCCTGTCCTTAATGAATATCATAAAAATTGACTTTCTGGCCTTTGACGGGTTTGTTACAAGTGATACTGTTTAGGGAAGCAGGCAGTGTATGTTGCTTGCCTAGGAAAGGGGAAAATAGGTAAAGAAGTAAATAGGCTTAAATCATCAATTTGGATGAAGATGGGGACACAGATCAAGGCCAGGGGCACTGATCCCTTATGAGGAATTGGCACCAAGGGGAGGACATGCTCACTGCACAAGAGGGCAGTGGGTAAGAAGCCCAGGAGTCAGAAAGTCTGGATTTGAAGTTTCTGTCAGCTACCAGCTGTGTGACCTCAGGCAAGTTGCCTAATTTCTCACAGCCTGTTTTTTCATTTGTGGAATAGGTAAATATACCTCATAGAATGGGAATAAGGTTTAAATGCATAAAAGTATGTGAAGTGATTGGCATGTGAAATCCATGGCAATTCCCTTTCTCTTATCTTCCCAGCCCATCTGAGTCCTGGCTTCCCTGCCCCTCCATCATTCCCCAGGGCCTTTGGAGGAAAGCCTCTTTTTTTCTTCATCGTTCAGGGCCGATCAACAAACCAGGTCTTTACTGAACACTGACTTTGTACCATGTCTTGCACTGAGTGCCAGGGACAAAAGAAGACCAAATCTAATCATGGAGAAAAGACACACCAATCAGAGTGTCAGTCCCTCACGTGTGCATAGTCCTTAATGATTCACAAATACAAATTTAAAGCAACTTTGTGAGGGGAGTGGGGCAAGGCAAGGGTTATCATTTGTAATTTACAGATAGGAAAACTGAGGCTCAGGGACGGAGCATAAGCCAGGGCTCTTATTGCTTATGCGCCCTTGTCTCACTCTCAGTTGGGACAGGGACAAACATATTATAACCCAGGTAGAGCAAACGAGAGGCTGTGCAGGAGCGCAGCAGAGGGAGAGAACGGAAGGGGAGGAGATGGGGAATAAGCTTCCAAAAGTTAGTAGAGAGGGGGGACTTTAAGGCCACAATCGAAAAAAACTCTTCACCTAATGAACTTATGCTTTAAGCCTGAGTTTAGATATAGCTTCTTCATCCTCTGTGCTTCTTCTGCCACAGCACAGCTTAAGTGGAAGTCCATCTGACAAGGAGCTCCCCAAGCAGGGATCATGTCATTTATCCGAGCTCCAGCACTAGCCAGAGGAGTAAGGGCTTGCTGAGTATTAACTGAATGAATGGACAGGTGGATGAAGGGGACAGGAATGAGCATGGAGGGTGTGGCTAGGGGGCTGTGGATAGTGAGGGTCATGAGAACTCACCTCAACAAGCAGGACAAATCCTGTGCTGGGCACTGGGGACACTGATGTGAATCATATGCAGCTCCCACTGTTGAGGAGCTCCTACTCTAGTGTGGAAGATAGATATATAGACAATGTTGGAAAGGCAGGTAGCGAGGGGACTGTCAGGCACACAGGAGGCACCTATCTAAGCCTGGGGCCCAAGGAAAGCTTCTTGGAAGAGCTGATTCCTAAGCATATATCAGCTACATAAAGCTATGTGGTGGTGGGGAGGGGGACTTCCCTGGTGGTCCAGTGGTTAATAATCCGCCTGCCAATGCAGGAGACGTGGGTTCCATCCCTGGTCTGGGAAGATTCCACATGCCTCAGAGCAGCTAAGCCCATGGGCCACAACTACTGAGCCAGCGTTCCAGAGCCTGTGCTCTGCAAAAAGAGAAGCCACGGCAATGAGAAGCCCATGCACCACAATGAACTGCAGACCCAATTCAGCAATGAAGACCCAGCACAGCCAAAAATAAAGAAACAAATCTTAAAAAAAAAAAAGGACACATAGTATGAGTGTAAGTGTGAGCACACACACATATAGAACACTAGGCCCAGGAAACAGCATAAACACATATAAGGGGGCAGAAAACAGCCTTTATTATCCCAGAATGCCCATAGCAGTTTGTTATCATTAGAGCAGAAAGCTCAAATTGGCGAGATAAGAGGCCATAGGTAACCAAACACAGATAGTGTGTATGTCATGCCAAGGAGATGTCATCACTGTCCTCAAAGGTGCCCAAGGTAGGAGACCTCTGATTCAAGTAAGCGGTGCATCACCCTGGCCAGCTCATGGGTATCTTTTGCTATCAGAACAACCTCAAATGCACCTCCAACCAATTACTGTCAGACTACTGGAAGGCTCTTCATTAGTAGGCCAAGATGGTAACCTTTTCCTCAGGTTCATTAATGAGGAGTCTCAGGAGCTAAGAATCTGCAGAGCTCTGGAAGATGACAACCAATTAATCAGACTAGCCCCCAGTCCTTTCCTCCCTCTAATTGGCTTCAGAACAATGGAATTTCTGCTGCCTTTAACAGGGCCCAATTCTTAATTGAATCTGAGAAAATTCCCACCCCCCAAATGCTCCTGTTTACCCATCTTGTCCAAAGGCAGCTGTCACAGCCCCACAAGTTCCCACTGACTCTGGCCACA